AAATGAAATGGCTACCCCAAATTTTTTCTTTCTAGAAAAGTTTAAACCAAACGCACCCTAAAAATAAAATAGAAATGCACTAAAATGACATTTTTTAAAAAATAAAAAATTATTTTTAAACACTTTAGATAAGAAATTAGGATAATAAGAGAAAATGCATTTTTATTGGATGAATTATGTATCATTGATTATTTGAAACAAGGTATTTTAACTAATGATTTTTTTTTTTTTGTATGGACTATCCGGTATCCGAAAACCTATTGAGTCACCGATTAATCTGGATTCGAGCTGGGTATGACTCAATGGGTGGCAAAACTCTCCCCCATGAGTTTTAACAGAACTGCATTCTCATAACTTAAAACCAAAACCTCTTATTAAACTGAAAGAGTTTCGTACCAACTCATCCACCTGTTTGTGGGTTTTAACTAATAATTATTGAAGGGCACGATTATGGCTTAAAAAAAAAGGTAAAATATTGTTTTTAAAAAGATTAATTTTATTTAATTAAATTAATAATAACTATAATTTTTAATAAATAATTGATAAAGTAATTAATATTTATTAGTTAATAAATTAATATTTTTAAATATTATTTAATAAAACTAAAAATTATTATTTTTTATGGTTACAACAACCTATTAATTATTATATGCTAGTGAACTCCACCAAGTGGCTGGATGGCCGCGCGCTTCATTGAGGTAGGTGGGTTGTTCATTCGGTCTGAGGATCGAATCCCCAGTTGTTAACATCTAATAATATTAATCTACTAATCATTGCACTTATCAAAAAAAAAAAAAAAAGGGCTAGTATTTTTTATTCAAAGCCAATGTCAGTTGACCTTTCAAAAGGCGGAATTGACTTAGAAAGTAATTTAAAATAGCTGAGAGGAAAAAGGAAAATACAAAAGGAAAAGGATGAGACTAGCCTGAGGTTTTTTGGGAAAATTAAATTTTTTTTAAAACACTTGTTTTAAAATTAAATTTTTGTTGTATAAATTTAAAAATTTATTAGAGAAAAGTTTAAAACTTAGTTTTTAAAATAATTTTTAAATAACTTTTAAAAAAAACTATACATCTAAGTTTTTTCAAAATTTGTCTAAAAGTTACTTTTAGTTTTAAAATTTTTGTCAAACAAAATTTTAAATTTATGAAAAAATTTACTTTTTAAGTACTTTTTTTAGCTTTGTGGAAGGCCCTCATAGTCATTTGCTGTTTAAAATGAAACTTCTTTGGCACAACAAAAGTTGAACCCTAAGAGGGTGATTTAAATAGTTAAGAGTTTGTTATTTCAAGTTGGTGATTTCATATTCGAATCATGAGTCGAGTGAAGAGAGATTTGGAAAAAAAGAAGAGCTATTTTTTTTTGTATAATCGATCATCATTAGATGTATAAGAAAAAAAAAAGCACAACAAAAGTTGATTGACTAGAGTTGTAAATGAGTTAAATTTAGCTCGAGTTTTTATCAAGTTTAAATATAATAAGCTCAAACTCAACTTGTAAGCTCAACTCACGAACTCAAACTCGACTTATAAGTTCAATTGATTACTCAAATTTACTTTAAAAAATAAAATAAAATAAAATAAAATAATAAATATTTAATATATATAATTATTTTTAGGAAAACGATACACTTATCCTTTGAACCAACACTCCACCTTACACATTTGTAGTTTAAAGATTAAAATACAATTTTTGGCTTATTCCTGGCTTGTTCATAGCAAGCCTATTCAATGCAATTCCTGATGTTAAAATTTCTTTAGATTCCATTCATTTTCCTTGTCTTGCCTTTTTTTCTTTGTTCCTTTGTCACTATTTCTCTACTTGTCTTCTCCCACATCCCCTCACGTGAGTTCTTTATCGTGTAGATCTGGGTAGCCCTCCTTATCACACAGCATTAGTACATTGATTTTCAACCTTCTTCCTTCTTTTCCCTCCTCTTCCTTTCTTTTCCTTTTTCTTTCCCTCTCCTCCCCTCTTCTTCCTTCTCTTCCCCCTTCCTTAATCAGTTGAAGGAGAACCCAAATCTAGGTTCTCCAAGAGAACCCATGGGTTTTCAGGGAGAACCTAGATCCGAGTTTTCTTAGAGAACTCGTGGGTTCTTGAACTTGGAGTGAGAAGGAAAAAGAAAAAGGAAGAAGGAAAGAGGAAGAAGATAATGAACTTTTATAAGTTTTTGTTAGAATTTTTACAATTTTGATAATATGTTGTTTTGTTTGGTTGCTAAGAAAATTGGAGGTGAAAAGAAAATTTCTTCGTAAAATATGTTTGGTTCCTAAAATATCTAGAATGACAAGAAAAACTTTCATTGTTGTTAAGAAATTTATAAAAACTGGAGAAGAAGATAAACTAGAGAAAAAGATGAACATAGGAGATAATTCCCAAATCTTTTCTAGATTGTTTGATTTTGTTTAATAATTGCTACAATGAATATGTTTGAAAACAGAGATAAAGGAGTGTTTTATGTTTGGCAACTGGTTCAAGTTGTTTGAGTATAATTTAAAACTATGGGATATTAATTTTATAAGTAATGTGTAACGAAGGGTGTGATGAGTTGAATTTATATATATTAATGTGAAATTTTTGTCTCAATATTGATATTTGGATAAGTTTTATGAGATTTTATTTAATTTTACATAATTTTTGTTTTTTTATGTAGGAAAAAACTTAATTAGAAGAAATCATAATTTTTAGGAGTAAATTACAGAGATAAAAAAGGTTGAGAATTAACTTGAGCAGAATCTAGAAGTTAGAGACCAAGACTATTATTTTACAATTAATGCTTGGAAGGCCAAAAACCCAACACGGTACTGTGTTATGTGCTTAACAAAAGATGTCAACACTTAATTGAACGTATTGACTCCTCATGTGATTTTTATAAATCCATGTCTAATTTATTATTTTGGTGTGGGTCTTACTTCTATTTTAATTAGGATTTCTAAAATCTTATAAATACTCATCTAAATTCAAAACTAGGGAGCTTTTGGAGGCCCGTGGCAGCTCTCTTTTGAGTATTTTTGGAGATCAAGATAAATAATTCATTAACAATAAGAGATTAAGGATTTCAATTTTCTTAATTTGGGTTTTATTCTTCCTTGATACTTTTATATTCAGAATTATAATTTTATATTTTATTATTTTATTAAGAACTAATTTATTTTATTAAGACTACAATGTAGTCTAATCAATTTATTATAAATTTTGTGATTTTATACTTTTAATTAAAATTATTAATATGATGAGTTTATATTATTGAACTTAATATATTGAAAGCCTGATCATTTTTTAATTGATTTAGTGAAAGCCTAATCACCTTTCAATTGATTTAGTGATTTATGCATAAACTTGAGAAAGAATTGCATAAATTAGACCAATAATAATATAAATCATGTGTTAGACTACGAGACTGAGAGATAATTAGCATCATATGTAATAGTGGAGGAAGAGAAAAGAGTTAAGAGCTCCCTTCTTAAGTTAGAGGTTTCCATAAAATTTAATGCTTATTTGTTTGTTTAAAATTACATAGATATATGATTAATTTGACAAGTAGGGAAAGGAATAACTTGAGAAAGCTAATTAATTAATTTAAGGAAATCTACCATCACATGTAATAACATTCAACAAAATAGTTTGGAAGTATATTAATCTAAAATTTATAGTAATTGGTTATGCGAAATCAATACCTTATGCCTCATATCTTGATTAACTTAATTTTAATTAGCATTTTTTTTTGTTATTTTTAATTAAAGTTTCTTCTTTTTCTATTGTTCAAATAAATCTAGATTAATTATTTTTGGTACTTAATTAAACACAATCTTCGTGGATTCGATACTCTTCTCATCATTCTATTATTTGGAATGACTAATACACTTGTTTGAGTAATTTTAGCACATCAGAGTGCTAGTTTGGGGTGTGCGATTATTAGCATCCAAATTGAACTAAATTGAATAGAGTTGACTCAATATTTGAGTTCAAACTTGAATTCAATTTTTATTATAGCTCAAGTCAAGTTTAATTTAAGTTTAAATGGAGTAACTCATAAGTAGTTTAACTCATTTAATGCCCTATGGTTGATGTATCAATCACCATTAGCTAAATGATACGTTAGCAGTTTTTATTTTCTTTTTCACAACAATGTCGGTACTTTTGAGCCAACTTACCTGCAATCCGATTCTCAAGACTATCTCCCTAGTTCAATTATTACTCTCAGTACTATCCTCCTAATTTAATTATTGAAAATAAATTTTTTTTGAGAAATTACTTCTTTTTAACCGCCTTTCCTTCGATCCCTAAGGAGTTAGTTTTTAATTAATGGATAAAGAGACCAGATGCAAGCTGTCTTAAAAGCAAGCTACATCAATAGTTGAGTAGCAGAGCATGGACAAACAAAATCACAACTACCCCACCATCTACAACAGCACAGCCAAAGGGAATTTATAAACTATAAAAACATGATATTCTAATAGGAATTTGGAGTTTATATTTATTAATTTAAAAAATCTAAATTTAATATCAAGATTAGAGGTTAAAACTATTAAAATGTCAAATAACTAAACATGATTCAAATCTTGCACCTCATTTTCCGTTAAAGGTGCAAAAAACTGTCATGCTATTGTTCATAAACTTTACATTATTGCAGGCCAATTAATTAAAACAGAGAAAATATATCAATTAACACTACAAACTTTTCAAAAATCCCATCAACCACTGTGGTTTCTAGCATCACTAGAAGATGTAGGTGCACCCTTAGGCGAAGAAAATGGCAGAGAAGGTGGTAGATGGAACATCAAACTTCCCGACTGTGAACTAGAGGATGTAGATTTATTCAAAAAGCTTGACTCACGGCCATTCCCTTTCACTGCTAATGAGATTGTGCTGGAAGCCACCGGCAATGGCTCCCCGCACTTTGACTTTTGCCCAAGATTATCCTCGGCAGCCTGGGTTGCACCGGCAGTAGTATTACTTCCAGTGCCGATAATTGATGTGAGAGCAGCTGCTAAAGCAGATTGGAAACTTGGGTCTGCTGTGATTGCTTTGGTTGCAGCCTCAATGGCATCTGAACTAAGAGACTGTTGAGGAGGATAAACTTGGTTATTATTTTTTTGCATGAGAGATTGGTATGCGTTGGTTCCAATTTGGCTTTTCAAGTAGGGTTGACTAGTAGTAGTACTACTTCCATAGTTAAGAAGTCCATTGTTCCAAGACAATGTGTTGGATTCTGAAGAAGAAAAGTTGAGACTTATGGAAGGATACCTTGGAGCTGAAGAAAATGGAGAAGAAAACCTATTCAACAGAGAAGATGATGAAGATGGTGGGGAAGTAAGGTCAAGGATGATTGTTGGGTGAGATGGGGTGGTTGAGAATGAAGAGTTGGGTAAGTAGAACTTGTTTGATAATTTTGAGTTCATATTATCAGAGAGGTAATAGTTTAGTCCATGGAGATTGTAGGCAGAGGTTGAGGTTGTTGGATTGGAGCTACCTGGCTGTGAGTTGGACAAAGAGCCAGACAATAGCATGCTGGCGGCTGCTGCAGTTGTGGAGGCCATGGCAGTGGCTGACATTGGAAGTGGGTGGTTGTGTGTTCCTTCATAGGTTGTGATCAAGATTGACATATCCTCTGCACATCTTTGCACCTGAAATTCAGAAAAATATATATTTGATCATCAAATTCTATCAGTAAACACTACAAAAAATTGTTGAAGTAAGTTGTTTCCTTGTGAATGTGAAGGGCTAGAGTTCCATATCAAAAAAATATGAGAGTAATGAGTAATTTAACTATGTAAGACTCATGAAATTAATAAACTATTGTTTTGATTTCAAGATGGTGTGAAAGCATGTGACAAGCCATCAAATTTCTCTTCAACAAGTGGTATATCAGACTAATGATGTATAATAAGCAGGTTAAATATGCCAAGATCAATTTTATAGACTAATTTTTTTATTTCAAGATGGTGTCAAAATATGTAGTGGGTCATCAAATGTCTTCTCGCTAAGCAGATGTCTCCACCAAAAAATAAAATTTTAACATTTTTCACTTTATGATACATCTTATTTGTACCTGCTTTCTCACTGGGCATGAAGGTGCAACAGTGCAACGGTAGTATGCTCGAGGGCAAGGGTTTCCTTTTGCAATCTTCTGTCCATATTTTCTCCATTGACACCCATCATTCATCTGTTTATATCAAACAAATCAATTATTCGATGTCAAAAAACAAATATATTACCAAATGCGTCCAATTTCCACAAATATTTAACCCTAGTAGGTCTAGGAAAACTACTTACTGTAGGAGTATCACATCTTGCTCTAACGCAAACCCTAGTTTTCTTAATAGGATTTTGCTGCAAAACTTCATCATCTCCATTTCTCATTGTCTTAAGAATTTTACTGGGAGGCCAAGTCTCCACGGCTTCTTCCTTTGGATCTTCTGAACTGTTTGTAGGGCTTTGATTTGGCAAAGACACTTCATTTTCCACATCTGACTTGGACACATCAAATTTGCAATCTAGGCCAAGAGTTAATCCTTCTTTCCCTTTCCCTTCGTTAGATGTTTTGTTCTTTTCGTCTTTCTTTGAATCAATTGCAGATCTTCCAAGGGTGAGCGAAATGAGCTCTGGTTCTTCTACTTCTCGACAATGATCATTGTCTCCTTTTTCTGCAGATTTCTTCTCTTCTTGATGAACGATGTTATAGAATTGCATTTGTAGATTCTGGTAATCCCTCGTTATTTGATTTAAGCGGGTCTTTAGTCTTTTATTCTCTTCTCTCACCTCTACCATTGCCGCTTTTGCAGATTCAAGCTGATCATCCTACACCCATTTATAAAATTTACGAGAAAATAAAAAAACCATCCTTTTAAGGCCAAAGCAATTCACAATCCTTAAGTTTTGGTATCATATATATATATATTTATGAAATTAATATATTGGAATGTTTGTGGTTGTGATGAAATTATTTCTTTAGATCTAGTAATAAAAGTACTTAATTAGATCCAGAAGACAAGCGGATCATTAAGATCATCTACAAAACAATATAGTAACATTGAGATTTTCAAGAACTTATTGGATTGATTAAACATTGATTATATTTTCTATATTTATGTTTCACTGTAAAAATGTGCATACAAGCATTTCAAAATACCTGTTCTTTTCGCCTCAAAGAAGATGCTATCGATCCAGGTTCCATTGAGACTCTTTCGGTATCAATACTTCTGATAGGTATCTGTTTAAGCATAAAAGATGGAATCAATAACTACTAAAAGAAAACGGAACAACAGGTTATACAGATATATATGACAAATAATTCACAGATCCTGAAATTTTCCTACTCCTTATGAAATCTTTCTGTCCTAAAGAGCACAGGGAAGAGTTATCAAGCAATCCAGAGGATGTTATAATACTATTTCATCTACAAATATGCGTATAAATGGAGGAAGAGAGGACCAAGACTCTTGGATTTTTTGGTCTTTTTAGAGGAAATCATGCAAGCTCATTAACAATTCATTATGTAGTTTCTAAGACCATAATAAATGGTCAAAAATTGCTACTAATCAAGCTGGGTTTGAATGAGAAGCTCATTTTTAAGATAGCCTAGTCAAGTGGCAAGACTTTTAAATCACTAGGTTGTTTTCTGTCTGGAAAAATGTGCAATTTCTCTTTGTTGACATTTTCCCTGATTTATATATCTTTTTAGAAATATATATATATATATATATATGTGTGTGTGTATGGACTAGATATAAATATAATCCAATCTCCAAAATCAGTCAATTTCTTACAAAAGACAAGAAGCCTGGAACCATCCGAAAGCAAACATATTTCTTTAAATTATAAATTGCCATATTCCTACAAAAATAATTAATTACTTCCTCCGTTCATTTTTAACAAATTTAATTTTAAATAAAAATTTAACATATTATATATATAATAATTAATATTTTTTATCATATAAAAATATTTAATAAGAACTTTATATATAATTTTTTTTTCAATTATTATTCATATAATTATTAAATTTTTATTTAAAATTTATATTTAAAAAAAAATTAAATTAAATTTAGAAAAAATAAACATAGAGAGTACCATATTGATTTAGACTATCCGATGTTTGGGTTTTTCCTTGTATTTTGTTGATTTGCATTACCTGTTCTTTTCGTGGATGTGAAGTTGGCTCCTTCGTACCATCATCATCTTCATCCTCATCTTCATCCTCATCTTCATCATCCGGTTTTTTACTTTCTACCTGAACTAGGATATAAGAAAATATATTAACGGTGGCTAAATTTCACCATCACATTAATTAATAAAACCAAAACTGAAAAAAGATACAAAAATTCATAAGGGATTATAATTGATATTCTTTTATAAAGTTAGTGTTCTTATTTTTTTAGCTAAATTTATAGCTACATATGTATGAAGAAGAATATACAAGATCGATCCTGTGCTAGATTAGAGAGAAAAAAATGAAATAAAAGTTGAAGATCATCATGCTACTTTTATGAAAAAGTTAGTATGACAAATTAAAACCTGCTTCACCATAAATTAAGCAAAGAGCTGTCTCTAGGCGAGCCAAAGGATATCTGATCACCTTAGCAACATCTTCAGAAGCTCTGCTAAAATCGGAGTCTGGATAGGATTTGGAACTGGAGTCGGCAGCTTCCTTTTCTTCCTCCTTCACTAGAGATCTCCTGGAAGCGTCTTCCATTACCTTCTTCTTCATCTTAATTCTTCTCTAAAATTAATTCCCTCTTGAAATGGATATTGAATAGTGCTTACACGATCTCTTCTTTTATAGGGGAAAGCTACCGAATATGTGTTGACTATGGAAAAGTACAAAATTAAACAGATAAACAGTGTCGAGAAAACAGTCCAATTTGCATTAAAAGAAAGGGGAAAATTTTTATTTTAAACCAATTAAACTGAATAATGTAGTAAACAAAAGGAGAAGAATTCAACTTCAACTCCTGTAGATGAGATATATATTACAAGAGCTAGGTTTGGCCCGCAAAGGTCGGACCCCACCCAAAGTCAAAGGCAGCAGCTTCTACCGTTGAAGTTTCGTACATTACAAAAGTCACATGGAGGCACCGCCGGTTCGGCGGTCAAAGTTTTTGCCATCTGGTGACCGGAGTTCTTCCCTGTGGGCCGGTTAGGGTTTTCTTTTGATGGTCAAAGATAAATAGGGTATGTCTTCTCTAAGATTAAATGCCTGGTTTGTCCGTGCATCTTCCCTCTGCGCATTCCGCTCTCACCATGACATGTCACTATTTTCAGCCGTTATTAAACTAGAAAATGTATATCAATTTATATATTTGAAAAAAAAATGAAATTAATCATTAAATAAAATGTAAGAATTGCGGAGAAAAGTTATAAGAAAATATTGTGACTATATCCTTTTCATTCAACCCTTTGACTATCAACAATATATTCACAAGCTAATTTATATGTACCATCAAATTAAAAGTATGTTTGGTGAAATTTATACGTAGTTTAACTTTTTAATACTATTTATATTTTATAAGTTTAAATTTTTTTTAGAACTTATATTTTTTAATTTCTTTTTAACTTTAAAAAGATCTTAAACAGTAAATTTTAAAAAATTTTAAACTTTTATTTTTTATAAATTTTCTTTTTATTTACTTCTTATTTTTTCTAAAAGTAATTTTTAATTTTTTTAATAAAAATTTAAACTTGTAACTCATAAATAGTATTAAAAAAATAAAAACTCCAAAAGAATTCCACCAAACAAGCCCTAATCCCTTTTTGAGTGATAAGCTGCATCGCACATCCACAGTGGGGAAAATTATATTGCATCAAATGTTAGTTCTAAACTAATAATAGTTTGATTGATTTAATATTTATTAATTTAAAATCTTTGATTTAAGGTTAAAATTAAATATTAAAATTTTTGTGATGTCAAACAACTGATCTTTTGATATATATAAAAAATATTAGCTTTAAAACTTAAATATTATACTTATCTACAAAAGAACTAATTAAGTACGTTACTAAAAGCACTAAACTTTGTTGACAATACTTTATATAGATCTTTTTTATGCAACAATTTATTTAAAAGTGTAATTAAATTTATGATTTTTAATTAATTTATATATATTTTTATTACATTTAATTAATATTGTATATTTTTTTTAGATAATATAAAAGACAAAAGAAGTAGGACTACAACACAATAAAGTAAAGTTAAACGGAGGGTTCCTCTAGTGAATTTAACCTGCACCTATTTCCCCCTCAGTTATTTATCTTTCTATGAATGAATACACATGGTCAATTCACATGGTATTATTATAATTAGAACAACCCCCCCTCTCTCTCTCTCTCTCTATATATATAGAGGTTTTTTTCGCATAGACCTATATATTGGTATGAAAAAAAAAAATTAAAAACTGACTTTAACTTTGTCAAGTATCTAATTAAAATATTTCATGTGATATGAATGTTGAAAATAAATTTTATTTTTGTAAATTTTTATATAAATTAATAATAAAAATGTGTAATAAATATATTTTTAAATTGTGCTTTCATAAAACAAATTAAAAAAATTCTTTTTTTTTAGTAAATTTAGTAATATTATAGAAATTAATGAGTTATATATGTTATGCAAAAATATTATAATTACAATGCCGCATGATAGTATAAGCTTAAAACTTGATTTTCTTTATATAATTATCTTTTCATTTAAAGATTTATTGGTGATATATATCTATTAATTTAATATTACATTAAAATTTATTTAATATTACATTAAAATTTATTTAATATTACATTAAATTTATTTTAATATTATATTATTATTATTATTTTTGATCAGGTAAATGGTTAGAAAGTTAGTAGAGTGAGTTTGTTAGCAGCTGGAATTTTTTCAGGAAAG